AGATTTGTCATACAAGGATATATTAGTCTAGGAGGATTACCACATAGATTGGCATTCAACTAAATATTTGTTAACTTGCTTCTTAAGCCATGACTAGAGAATACTCCTTTTTTATTCTAAAACCGGCTACTAATGTAGCATCCACGTTAAGCTACATAACCCTAAAAAGAATAGTCATTCAATTATATCAACGACCTATCAAGTCCATTAGATCTTGGCGGTCAGTGCAAGATAGCTCAATTGGTAGAAAAGTGAGTTTAGAGTGATTCAGAAAAATCATATTGAAATAAAGCAAGACTTTCTAGTAATCCTAGAATCACGTCTGACCTTGTTTGTTGATTGAGCAAAAAAAGGGATATATGGAGTCTGTTCTCTTCCTCTATGCATCTTCCTTATGGGACATAATCTATATCAAGTTCCCCGTTGCACTCCACAAGTTCGCCAAGGGATGCGTCTTTTCATGAAGAGACACACCCCTTGGTGAAAAGATGTCTATTAATGAAAAGACAGTCTATTTGATAAAATGACATCTCTTTGTGGAAAGATATACCACACAAGAATGAAAAGAAGCACACCGATTGCAAGATTAACACATTACAAAATTCATTTTATAACTTCCCAAATGATGCAGCCATTGAAATTTATTTTTTTATAGAAAAGGAGGATGACCCCCGGCCTCTGCATCTAGGCGATGCATACGGCCACTTTATTAATTATTCTCACAAGACCTTATAAAGTTATACAACAGTAAGACTAAAGCTGCCGTCTAAGCAACAAATTGTCGCTACACCTATCCAGTTGATGAAGGGGCGCAGATAGCCTGGGCCTAATACCAAACAGACATCGCAGCCAAGCCTAACATCTAAGACCTGAGACCCCAACCTAGCCACTTGCCGGGTCTGGGGCACACACTGGTCCGCGTGCTCTCAGAGGCCGCCGCCGCCAACTGCCACCGCTCCATCTTCAGAAATGTACTGACGCATCAACCTTGCTCGGTCCAGTTATCGTCGATGCCACCACGGCGCCCAACGGCACCTCCTCCCTGCGCGCAAACAGCTGTACACGTCGCGGTCGCCACTGATACACCTTAGCGTCATGCTGCCACGTACCACCAGCCGGCACAGCTTGAAGCCCTTGGAGGATCTGTCGTGCGTAGCACCTGCCGACCAGGCATGACCAAGCGTAGCACCTATCGGTCAGGCAAGACGAAGCCGTTCCACCTCCTGCCTCTGACTTCCAACGCTGCTCCACAAAACGACGCGACCAAGAGAGAAATGACACCGCAGTGCTGCCATCATCCGTCCTGGAACACCAGATCCTAGGGTTTCCCCCGGAGTAATATGAGTGGGTCGACGGTAGTCACATGACGATGCCTTCATCAAGGTAACGACGTGGAACACCGCCATCGCCCGCCGTCGGCTCAGTTTTCACCGGCAACTACGTCTCCCCGACTCGCAGCTGGTGCCAGATGACGGATCCCAAGATCCGAGCACCCAGCCTCAGGCCGACCACCTCTGGCATAAGAGATGACCACCACCGCTGGCTGCACCGGTCAAAACAGATCTGATCGGAGGTGCCGCCGACGAGACCACCAGGCCCTCCACGCTATCGTCGCCGATCTGAAGGCAGCATGCACGCCACCGTAGCCGCCGCCACTCGAAGGGCCATCTGCAGCGCCCGTAGCCCTGGCCTCCGCCGCACCAAGCCGTCGCCGTCCGAGGATGGGCCGGCCTCCAGCCGCCTGCCGCCATCCGCCGCGTCACAGATCCCAGATCGGTCGCGCCACCACACGCCTTGGGGTCTGCCCCACCCCGGAGACGCGCGTAGAGATGGCAACGGGTAGGGTATGGGCGGGTACAACCTCCTTCTACCCAAACCCATACCCATAGAAACTTTTTATACCCACCCACTTCAATACCCATGGGTATAAACTGACACCCATGCCCATACCCATCGGGTATCCTATACCCAATGGGTATTATCCATTGGGTACAATATATAGCATTCAAATTCTTAAGAGGTAGAGAAATGAGTTCAAAATTCAAGTGATCATGGTAGAGTAGTATAGCACGTATGTGGCCTCCTCCAATGGGTGGCCTCTTGGAGGCATCAGGGGAGTATGAGCAGCGGTTGGTGGAAGGCCGACGTAGTGGAAGGCGGTGGTGGGAATTGGGGATCGCTGAATCGAGTGCTCGACAAGAGTCTGGTAGCGAAGAGTCGATATTTCATCTTTTTGAGGAGTCACATAGGATGTATGAGGAGTGGCGAGCAGGTGATTATGAGCCTATGAGCTATGACTTGTTTAAGGAATACAAGATTTAGGGTTGGACCATATGAGTTGGATGTTAACCCCACATGTTATTGGAGTTATTTTCATTTATTAATTTTTTCTGGGTATCCATTGGGTTACCCATGGACACAATTTCTTACCCATACCCTACCCATATATTTTGTGGGTATGGGTACCCATTACCCGTGGGTAGAAAATCTCTCCAAGTCTTGCCCATGCCCATTGTTTTTGGGTAGGGTGCCATCCCCATGCGCGAGAGAGGAGATCCCCCGCCACCGCCATCGGCCTCCAGGCTAAGCCCGGCGGCGTCTTCCGGCGGCGGCGGAGGGAGGGGAGGAGGGAGTTTGCGACGGCGGCGGCTAGGTTTTTGGCCACTCGGGTCGCCCTAGGGGGAGGACGACGCGGGCATCTAAACTTGATTGCGTCAAATATCACACAAGGATGAAAAGAAGCACACCGATTGCAAGATTAACACATTACAAAATTCATTTTCTAACTTTCCAAATGATGCGGCCATTGAAATTCATTTAATGTACCAAAATTTAACATTTCAATTCGTTTATATACACTTAAAAAATTGAACTCTACAACCCCATGCATAAAAAAATATAAATTATATTTAAATATCTCTAAATAAACTCACTGAAAGATCAAATAATACCCGCAACAAAGCACGGGCTTTACACTATTACTACTTGGGTATTACAAATGGCATGATGCACACACGGACTATTGGTGATAAAACCCCTCATGCTACGTTTTCTTTCTGTTGCCTTGCATTTATGTCGATGTTTTTTTTTTTTGAACCGGGCATCACCCCTTTCCATTACTTGACATAACGGAAATACAAAATAGTTTGTCCGGGCTGCAACTACCCAGGAAACTAGAAAGGGAAATGCGAGTTCAACGCATCTGTGGGAAATTCATTGCAAGCACTCGTCATCGAGCAGCCTGCCGCAGGGCGAAAACCCACAGACACCAAATATCAATATATGTCGATGTTATTAGTGTTACGCTGGCTCTGTTGTTTAACTGTGTGATCAATGGTGGAGAATCTCAGGACTATGAAATTCGTGGATGACCCTAGCCCTGTGGCTACCACCAAAGCTCGAACCCAGGGGGCAGCAGAACGCCCTGAGATCGTTTCAAGCCTGGAACGAGGCGCCACAGCGCCGCCGAAAAGGGTGCGCACTTGCACGTACGGCGACGCCAGCGGCAGCTTTCGGGGGAGAATTCATTCCAAGTAAGCGTACTCTTCCCGCATCGCCCCGGCCGGCCGGCTCCTCCTCCTCTTCCCCGTTCCCGCGTTTCTCCTCCACGAAAAACACAACAAAGAAATGGAAAAGCCAACGAGGGGCATACATTCCCGTTGACACAACGAATCTCTCCTCCCTCCTCTTTCCCCTCCGCCCAGCACGAGACCAGCAAATATTCGCGCCCCCGGCCGTGCACCCGCCGCTAATGCGCCATCAACTGGCGCCAGCCAGCCAGCCATCGCCGAAGATAATTTCCTAAAGCCGACGGCCGGGATCGCGCCCTTGGTTTGCTTTTACGCGGAGGAGAGGAGGGGAGGGCGAGGCCGAGATGCCGTCCGTGAGGTGTGGGCGGCCGGCCGCCCTTCGCTTCACCCTCAATCCTTTCCTTTCTGTCGCGGCCAACTCCACCACCACCACCACATAGCTTTATTCTCCAAGAACTTAAGCCCCCCTCTCCCCCTCCCTCCTCCGTCCATTCCAGCTCCTCTTGCTTCTCGATCCTCCTCCCTTTCCCCTGCTCCCCGCAAACATCGTGATCGCCGCCGTTGTTCTTGCCACCTGAAAGTTCCCCGCTGTTATTCCTCGGCGGCTGTCAGCCCGGCGCGTCGCGTGCATATATGCCGGGTTGGAACGCCGGTGGTTCCTCAGTAGATGGCCTACCCCTCGAGGGCTGCTTATAATCAGTGTGGCCACGGTAATCGAAACTCTCTGCTCCTCTGTGTCCCCTCTTCTATTTTCAGTAATTACCGTTGCCGTACGTGCATGGCTGCTCGTAGATTTTACGTACTTCGGCGGCACCAGCCGTCGTTCTCCCTGCCCTTGTCTTGTCTCGCTAGAGGTTAACTTTTGATTGCTGACTTTCGATCTGAACCGTGGGTTCGTTTCAACTTTTAGATTAGAGAACGCAGAGTGAACTGTCGGCGATCCATTTAACAACATGTATAGGTGCAGGACAAAAGGAAGCGAGTTGAGAAAAGGCGAGATGGTTTTCAGCTATATCTTTCTGTGAAACGTAAAACGACAATCAGTTTAGTCTATGTCTGCAGTCTATCCCTTTCATAGCAAACTTCGATTGATTTACCGGTCGATCGATGTGTCGGCTAACGAACCACTTTGTTTATGCACTTGTTGTATTTTGAGGCTGATATCCATTAGACCGGTCACATCGTGTGCAGTGCAACCCGTGCCAATGGCGTGGAGCAAATTGTGTTGCAATCAATCAATGTAGGAAACCCTTTCAATCAACATTTTCTAACAGTCACGCATGCTATATTCACAAGAGGGAAAGTTAGACTGAAACTGACTCTTATAATCCAGGATAAAGTGAGGTCCATCCAAAATAGTGACTGAACCTGACCCTGATTGCGCCTGCGTTGCTGTTGGTGACTGAACCGGTGCTAGAACTCAAAAAAAGGAAGATATATAACTGTGATTAGCACGGCGTAGTGGCGACCATGTTAGCGACCCAAGCAATTTCCTGTGGTGTTCTGTCCCTGTGTTTCTTGATCCTGTTCAATGCAGGTATTCTGTATTCGTCATCTGGCCTTTTGCAATGATATTCCAATTAAGCTCCTTACTATAACAATAATAAAAAGGAAAAAAACTGCAGTTAAGATTTGATTTGAGTGGATTTCCATGGTGCCGAACAAGAACAGTTGCTGTAGTCTGTACATCACATAGTGACTGAAATTCAATATACATATAACTGTGAGTGTCGGCTCATGAAGGTTCAGAGCTGCTCATGAAAGTTCTAAAGCTTCTGTGTGACCATTGTCACTCCAAACTTTCACCTGACAGGGATTAGTTGGTAGGACGTTGCTCTCCACTATTCAGTTGAGCCACTTGCTTGAAATCCTGCTGACATTTCGCTTGGCCTATTTGATGCTGACGTAACATTGCTGCACACAGAAAGAAGATCCAGCTTCATGAAGTGGCTCTGCAATTTCCTCAAGGGGACGAAGCCCGTGGAGTCGAACCACCGGCGGCGGCCTCGGGTGACCGCGGGAGAAGAGAGCTCGCTCTGGCAACAAGAACCGGTCAGGCCAAAGGTGCTGATACCCTCTCCTTGCCAGAGTCCGCCATTTTTCTTTCATATCCTCCTGAAATTCCATTGCATGAGTCGCATTCAATTCACCCCCACATTTTTAGCACTTCATGTTACCATATTTTGTGCAATCATCGAACAAATAGCTGCTTAAGCCCTTGTTTTTTTTTTACTATTTCCAGAGGGAGGATCCACCTAGACATGACAATGAAGAATTGGACCGTCAGATTGCACTCTCTCTCGCAGAGGAAGCCAAACGTACTAAAGGTACACATATACAGCATTTAACCCTGTTCGTCGTGCCTTTCTGGTTAAAAATCTGTTAGCGGTGCTTGATTTCGGTTGAATTCCAATGCAGAGCGAAACCATAACAAGGGAGAGAACGATGAAGACCTGGCCAAGGCAATGCAGGACAGTCTGAACATGAATCCTTACATGCCACACAATCCCTATGCCCCCTCCCAGGCCTTGCCTAGAGGGCAAAGGTTAGCTACATACCTTTGTTCGTCGCCTTTCCTCCAATGCCCCTGAACGAGCTAGTGTGTAAAGAAGCTATGTACATCCTGCAGGGTCTGTGGTGGCTGCAAGCATGAGGTAGGACATGGCCATTACTTGAGCTGCATGGGAATGTACTGGCATCCTCAATGCTTCCGTTGCTCTTCTTGCACACACCCTATCCGCGAGACCGAGGTAACCATCCTACACTCCCTTAAACCTTAAGAGTTTCGGCGGGAATTGAACTGTTTCTGTTGAAATTCTTGTATTACAGACAATTCTTTAAACTGTATTCAGGTGTCTTAGAAAATAGAAAGTAACTGTCACCCTTTATCTTTGTGTTTCCCAGTTCACCTTGCTAGGCGCAGAGCCATACCACAAGTTGTGCTACAAGGAGCTACACCACCCGAAATGTGATGTCTGCCTTCAATTTGTAAGACTCTTCTCTGAATGAACTCCGTCTGACAAAGAGCTAGAACTGATGTTTGGATTAGCATGTAACTTGATTTTTGTGTGCGTGCATTTCTGCAGATTGCGACGAACAGGACGGGCTTGATAGAGTACAGAGCCCATCCATTCTGGGGCCAGAAGTATTGCCCCTCACATGAGCTTGACCGCACACCTCGTTGCTGTAGCTGTGAGAAAATGGAGGTACAAATTTTCCCTTCTGCTTTTCCATCAATTTTCAGGAGATGAATGCTTGGGGTGCCAGTTATATAACTGTGCTGCAAAACATCCGCAGCGTTCATGCTGATGCTCCTGCATTTTAATTTCCTTGAATTGCCTCTCCAACCACGAAACTTTGTTATGCAAATTCTGCAGCCAAGGAACACAAAATATATGTCGCTGGGAGACGGGCGCAGTTTGTGCATGGAATGCCTGGATTCTGCGGTCATGGACACGGGTGAATGCCAGCCCCTGTACCACTCCATCAGAGACTACTACGAAGGGATGAACATGAAACTCGACCAGCAGATACCCATGCTCCTGGTTGAGCGGCAAGCGCTCAACGAAGCAATGGAAGGGGAGTGCAAAGTGAGTTCTTATGTTCAGTTAATTGGTCGAAGCAAATCAAAGCGTAATCTTCACAAATGTTAATGATCATCTCATTCTGCAGGGTCCTCACCACATGCCTGAAACAAGAGGCCTATGTCTGTCGGAAGAGCAGACTGTGAGCAGTGTAAGTACAACCTCTCAGCCTAAATTGACTTTCAGGGGTCAAATTATCCAGTAGATGATTCTTTTTGACCCTCTGCGGCTTGGCTTCTCAGATACTTAGAAGGCCCAGGATTGGTGGACATAGGTTACTAGATATGAGAACCCAGCCACAAAAGCTGACTCGCAGATGTGAGGTCACTGCAATTCTTGTCTTGTATGGACTCCCCAGGTCAGTTCATTCTTCACTGAGATCAGAACCAAATGGTGGAGTTCTTTGTCATTCTATGACTGGTGCATCATTTGTATGAAATCAAAATATTCTCCACATAATTGCAGGCTACTAACTGGCTCCATCCTTGCCCATGAATTGATGCACGGGTGGTTGCGCCTCAAAGGTACGTGTACAAACAACTTGTGCTGACTGAACCTTCTACGGCCATATTTCTATAATAATCTGATCTGAGTTATGATTGTTCGATTAATGGCACCTTCAGGTTACCGAAACCTAAGCCCAGAGGTTGAGGAGGGTATATGCCAAGTCATGTCTTACTTGTGGCTCGAGTCGGAGATTCTTCCAGCTTCTACAAGACACGCTCAACCTTCAACCTCGTATGCTTCATCCTCGTCGTCTTCCTCATATCGACCACCATCATCCAAGAAGGGTGGCATATCTCACACCGAGAAGAAGCTTGGCGAGTTCTTCATGCATCAGATTGCCAATGACACCTCAACAGCATATGGTGACGGATTCAGAACTGCCTATAAAGCTGTCAACAAGTATGGCCTTCGCCAGACACTGAACCATATACGTTTAACTGGAGGTTTTCCTGTGTAACACAAGAAAACACCATGTCCATATCGGAGAAATGCAGAGATCATGTGCACATACATAGGGAGATGAATGTGCTACAGAAGAAGGGTTCGGATTTCAGTGACCTTGCATTTTCAGAGGGGTCATTCAGAGTGAATCAGGAAAGGAACTGCATTTGCTCGAAGTAACAGGATGGAAGGTGTAATAAGATGGCATAAGAAATACCAATGTAACTAGCAGCATTGCCAATGCTAATGTATTGAGGTATTTATGTATGTATATGTGTAAAGTCAAGTTGTCTATTATTGCATATAAGCATGGGCACCGATCAGGCGAAGTGCAAAGAAAAGAAAATCGTAAGTATCCTAACTAAGCATACCTATAGAAAAACCATTAACCTCGAATCCTACGCATCTTAAGAAGGCTTCACTAACCTATCCATTAGCACCAATCAGTGCCTTCACATTATTTAGCCAGTTCTTAATTTAGCCAGTTCTTAAGTGCAAGTCAGAAATGGAACCAAATGGCATCATTCATAAGGAGCAAACGGAAGCATCAAACAGAGTTTACCTTCGAGGAGAGGAGACACAGTTGACGTCTGCTGTGGACCAGTTCTTGCGGTCCATACGCCAGGACTGATGCTAGGCGGCCTCTACAACATACAACACATTAGCATATATTTCAATGAAATCTTTCATTTTGTCTTCACCATGAGTTGTTTGTGTATGTTTTTATGTAAAAGGCCACCAGCTCATGCAGGATAAGAAACAAAAATGCAGTCAATCAATCCAGTCATAAACAAGTAATTCTATAACTTCCAACACTCTGATACAAGTACATAATCACCATGCGAGGACGGGGCAGGAGGAAGTTGAACACTTTTACAATGCCAGACCGAGTAATATTGCAACATCGGTACATCAGACAGTTAAACATAAGAGAAGATCAATGCATCAGACAGTTTATCACTAGAGGATCGATACATTAGAAAGTTTAACAACAGAGAAGATAGTGCAACCTATATAAATCGAGATAGAGCTTTGGCATTCTACACTTGAGGTACATTACAGGCATAAACCAAACAGATCCAGGATCCATATCAAGATGACCGAATGACAAGACTAATTGCAATGTTACAACCAAAATCACTGGCCATGAGTCATAATCTCACTGTAACAACATAAATTATATCAGAGGCCGTATTCCAGAGGTATGAAATCGCCAGGCTGAAGATGGTAGCCAGTACATTACCAACTGAAAATGTGAACATACACAAAACAAGGGTGGACAGCAAAATTTTGGACGACCTATGGCACTTACTGATCTTCTTGGGTGCACTACAAGAAAACCTATAGCCATATAAATACTGTTTGATGATACTGCTACGTTATGAACTCCAAAATTTAGCACCACCTAAATCCTACCATATGCTACAAACACATCTCTTCCTCCCCCTCCCTCCCTAATCACCTCCAATGCTACTCTGGCCCAGGTGTCAAAACTGTCAAGCATGATCAGACATTGGAGATCTATTCATCTGATGCCCCTTCTGTGAACATGGACTTCAGTGTCTCGTATGTCATAAAAATGAGGCCGACGCTGGGAACCACTTTGCAGTACTCAGGCAAGATCCCTCTATACAATCCTCTATAACCTTCTGTCTGAATAATATGCCCAAACGTTCCAACAAGTCCTGTCTTGTAGACATTGGCCCTCCCAGCTGCACCTTCCAACTGCTTGCGGCGTCTTACAAGATCCAATGGAAATGTAACTGGAAAATAATAAACGTAAATGATCAAATCAACGTTCACTAAGTTTGACAGGTCCATGTTCAGTAATAATAACAAAGAATAAGCTAGTGTTTCTATGGTAATTCAAATAAAAACACCTTTCTTGTTTGAAGTTTACATACAAAATCACTTGAGACCAAATTAAAATGAATAGGCAAGTGTCAAGTAATAAACAAAAATACTAGCATCAGTTACATGACAATTTGTTAACAAGAAAACTATCTGTCTCATTGCATATAATTTCATATTCAGGTAAACATTTAATCATGTCAATTCTTTTTCAGAAAATTTGTATTGTTAGGCTGTGTTATTGTTTACCATCTATGGACAATCCTGATAATCCCTTTTGGCTAACAAGCTTTTACGTATGTATAGTTTGGCTAACAAGCCTTTTCCTATCTCCACGGCTACAATCCCACACCGGATAATAAAATATGTTCAGCACAGGACAGTTTAGCAACCACAAACTCGGTCTTAGTAATACAGATGATACTATTCCTCACTTCTAATTTAACAACATTGCAAGGTAGAGACCTACCATTGACGATCTAGATACTTGGTGGGATTTTTTTACATAGAGAAATATAGGCATTTAGACTTTTCTTTGAAAACTAAGTATTTTCCAACATGGAACTGGGCCAATGAGTTTCTGAGAATCTGATCAAGCCTACTAGATTATCAATGAGTTTCTGGTAACAAGGGCAGTTTATCTATAGATCACTTACAAGTTGATGATGCAACTCCCGAAAGGCTTCCACAAGCCAAACTGATAAAGATAGGGGAATCACATGGCCTGAAAAGAATTGCAGGTAACACAAATTAAATTGATAGTTGCATGAATATGAACCAACATGTATCCTTCCTGTACAACTTACCGCTCTAGTAGCCAATGTGAACGCAGAGTTTCATAAACTGAGAAGCTTATTGCTATACTGGGGCCTACACCCTGTATTTCAAAGAATCGCCAAAATGAGATTTTATAATAGAAAAGCTCAATAAACTGGAAAATCAAATAAGTGCCAAATGTCCGTACCAGTAAAGTGGGACCAAGACCCTTGTACAACCCCCTGGGACCCTCATCTCTGCAGATCGCAAAAAGAGCATGGGATATGCCCCTGTAGTAGGCTGTGTTCGTCTGCAATCATTCAATTGAAAAAGAAAATTTGGTTCAGATGCCTAGCTGAACACTGTGAAGCAAAGTTGGAAACAGTCTTCAAGTATGCTCAAAGCAAATAACTTCCTATCCTGACTGCAAGGAAATAAAAGGAAGGATGAGGGGGGGAGGGGGGAGAATATGCAAGCTGTGTATGTTCGCTTTTAGCGTGGGCATTGCCCAGGTTTTATTGCTGGCAACTATGTGTCCTCATCCAGCAGTAGGTCAAGAACGCTAACATTAAACAGTTTGTTTACTGATATTTTTAGCAGGGCATGGCAAGAGGTGACAAAAGTGTTACTTCTCTCCAATAAAAAATGAGAATCATCAACCATGTTATTGAAAGTGCAGTCTTCTCCAAACAGATATTAATTTGATCACAGGCATTTCAAGTTTCAAATGTGAATTTCTACAGAGTTAGTGATAGCAGCTTACCTGAGCAGCCAGACGTGTCCGTACCAAGTCCAGTGGATATGTCAAAGAAGCTGCAGTTATCCCAGACAAGCCACCGCCTACCATTCTGACACCAACATCGGCACCCAATCCACCATTACTGTCGAGACCAGGTATCATCTGAAGCCACTGCACACCTCAACATTAATCAGATTAAGCACATATCATAAGTGGCAAGAATTGCAAGTGAATTTTATACAAAAACACCTGTACTTACATTCTTATATCTCTCGTATGTATAGAAACTAATCGAGGAGTAAGGCAACCGATGTGCAATAGTTACAAGATTTCCTTTCCAGAAGGCTCGTAGCCCTTCTTCATAGACAATGCGGGACGCTTCACGCCATATACTAGTGTTGCGCATCGTAGCCACATCTGAGTGCATTCCTTGCACCTGCGCATAGAAATGATACAGATTTCAATGGCAACCATACTATTATTAAGAAAAGAGGACAACAAAAAGAGCTCGTTTTACCCATATAGACCATGGGCGCAACCGAGTTCAACACTGTCCGGTCAGCCATGCGTCCATGTGCGCACAAGCTCATTATAACATCCGGTTGAGGTGTACGGCATGGAGTGCGCCGCGCATACGCGCCATCGCACCACAGTACAAGTCATATATATGTGCACTAGGATTTGATTTGTCTTTACAGTTGTTTTTTCTTTTGCCTTGGTGCTAGAATTGTTAAAAAAATGCTTAAAAACTCCCATTTCTCCAGTATCCTAAAGCAGAATCATTCCCAAGAAGCTCAATGAAGTAAGATGCCACTCGTCGTTTACTAATATATACAGACCAACAGTTAGCATCAGAGGCTAGAGCAGTCTGGTGAAGAAAATAGATAATAAAGCAGTCCGAGCGGGCATGGATAAACGGCGCACCTGAAACAGGATGGTGAGGCGGGCGAGCGGCGCGGTGCAGGTCTTGCTGACGGCGCCGGCGACGCCGCCGGCGAGGAGGTGGAGCGTCGTCCCAAGCTTGGGCTGGTTGTGGTGCTGCTGCGGCTGCGGCTGCTGCTGCTGCGTCGAGTACCTCCGCGCGGCGACGGCGGCGGCGCCGTCCACGGTCGCGGCGGCCATCCCCACGCTCGCCTCCGTCTGCATCCGCGCACTCCCCCGCCGCCAGTCCGCCGCCGCCTCTGGGGCGTGGGCACTGGCGCGAGTGACCGGATCGCGCGAAGGCAAGGCGGTCGTCACTAAACCCTAGAGTTTGGGGGCGGACTGTGGGCGCAGGGCCTAGGGTTTGGGAATGTTTTTCTTTTTTCGACGTGGGTCGGCAAGCGCGAATAAAGCCGAGACCAACTTGGGGAGAAAGAGACGCACCAGTAACGGTATCTCTACTCCTAATGGACGAATTTCTCTATTTTTAATGGACAAATTGGTTGAATAGTCTCCCCACTTTCAACCGGTTTATTTTCAACCGGTTTTTCTTCGTCCCACCTCCCACCAGCCCCTCCCACCGATTTTTCTCTTTTTTTGTCTGACGGGCAATACCCAACGTATTTATGGTAATCAATCATAATTAATCCACGTATAGTAATAAATCAATCCAGGTATGGTAAGGTCATAACTCAGGAAATTTTGAATATGGTAATTATATGGTAATAAATTTAAATTACCCCAAAGGCTATCAATCCAGGTATGGTAAGGCCATAACTCGGGAAATATCAAATATGGTAATAAATTTAAATTACCACCAGGTATGGTAAGGCTATCCACGTATAGTAATAAATCATATAGTAATAAATCATAATTAATCCACATATAGTAATAAATCAATCCAGGTATGGTAAGGTCATAACTCAGAAAATTTTGAATATGGTAATTATATGGTAATAAATTTAAATTACCCCAAAGGCTATCAATCCAGGTATGGTAAGGCCATAACTCGGGAAATATCAAATATGGTAATAAATTTAAATTACCACCAGGTATGGTAAGGCTATCCACGTATAGTAATAAATCATATAGTAATAAATCATAATTAATCCACGTATAATAATAAATCAATCCAGATATAGTAAGGTCATAACTCAGGAAATTTTGAATATGGTAATTATATGGTAATAAATTTAAATTACCCCAAAGGCTATCAATCCAGGTATGGTAAGGCCATAACTCAGAAAATTTCGAATACAGTAATTATATGGTAATAGATTTCAATTACCTCAAAGGCTATCTCTACTCGTAATGGAGGAGTCTGCGGTCATGATGGTCGGTTTTGTACTTTCGTTCGTCAATCGTCGTCCCTTCCAATTATGTCGTCGCACACGAAAAAGGAAACAGATCCCGTTTTCTGATCCTCTTCAAACCAAATCAATGATGGGGCACCCCTCAAAAGAAAACCAATGCCCACATCCTTTGGGACTTTCAGCGAGAGGTCTAACCTCTGCTCGCATGCAGCCCGCCGCCTCTCCCGTTGCAGAATGCCGCCGTCCTTTCGATGGCTCGCTGCCGTCGCCACCGTCCCGCTAGCTGCTGGCCACCTTGCTCGGCGCCTCCCAACGCCACCTCCCCTGCCTCCGTAATGGCGAAGGGTTCGATTCCATGGACACGAATCTGGTAGAGTGGTAGTGTTGAGAGGAGACCAAAGGAGTAGGCGAATCAAGAAGCGGCAGTTGCATCAAGTCAACTCCAAGTCACAGGTACACTAATTATCTGGATTTTTGTCAATCCTCCTGATCGTGCTTACGCATTGGATGCAACTTTTGCCTGGCCAGGTGAATTGAAACTGATTTGCGACCGGAAGTAATAAACCAATATAGCTTCATAGTTTTGGCGTACTCAGATGAAGCGACGGGTTAAGCAAACAAGCAGTTGCAGAAGTGTCTTGGCTGCTGGTCGTGTGGGGTTAATTAGCGCATGCATTGGCACAGCCATCCAGCTGCAACGGCGTGCTTTTTGTTTGGAAAATTTTCTTTGGTCAAATATGAGAATGCTCTTGGTGACCAAAATGCACTACTTCTCAATCTCTAGCTGGTTTACCTGTGTGATGTGTAAGTTTAGCTGACATGATGTTAAAATTGTAAGACAAGATCCTCAAAACCATGTTTACTATTTCAACAAAATTAGAGAAACTACCAGGATAAGCAATGCCTTGCTTGGTGCTGATTTCCCAAAATTAGCAAAAAAGAAAAAAACCAAGTACATAAAAATTTGGATGTGCTCTGAGAGTCAAAGCGAGGAGCGAAGACCCAGAAACAATTAATGTGGAGATAAGGAAACCTGCGGAGGAAAGGAAAATAACAATTTCCCATTAAGTTGCCATATATTTAACTTCAATGGTTGCAGATCCACTGATTATTTGTCTCTAGGTTCCTTGTGGCGGTATTCTTCAGGGTGATAATTTCGTTGCTTGTAGTATAGTACTAAAAACCCCAGTGGGATTATATGACTGTCATATATATAAATGAACTGTTTGTTAAAAACACACGCACAAAAGTGGAGCTTCTTAGAGGAAGTCATTATCTAATATATATACTATTAAAGAAATGTTGCTACATTGCCATTTCACACACAACCATTAATGAAAAACAATTTAAAAACCAAGTGCTGAATCAATTTCAAAATCAAGCCATTAATGTAATTAGTTAGTCAGGCAGTTAATTATGTGTGCAATTAATTAGGTCTATTTAAATAAGCATTTTTTTGCATTGAATCAATTCAAAAACCGAATCATTAATTCAACTAATTAATTATACATCCAGTTAATTAGGATTGTGTACAATTAGAAATAGGGATTTTTTGAATTAGACAAATAATTAGTTAAATAGGAAAACAATTAATAGGCATGCAGATAATTAGGCATGCCGTTAATTAGGCATGTTATTAATTAATTAGGCAGGTAGTTAATCGTGCCGAATCAGTTTGAAAGCGTTTGTGGGCGAGGACGGCCAGTAGCTAGGCTATCGCTGCCATTGGTGACTGCCAACATGCTCTCAACGACATGGTTGGCCAGCGTTTGCCAACATAGATAACAACCACCACGCCTCATGACATGAGCGACCAAGCATTCGTAAAGATGGATGATGACCGTCGTCCACACACTGATGGTTGCCAAAATGTTTGTGGTCGAGGATAACAGATGCCATAGAACAAGGTCAACAGTCGCGTACTTGAGGACGACCAAGCACTAACGGTCGAGGGTTCCGACCGCACCCGCAAGGACGATGGTGATGACCTACGACAATCGGTCACACGCCACCACTACCACTCTTTAAATATTATTTCATCCCGTAGCAACCCACGGGTATTTAGCATCATATATGTGAGATCACTTCCCTAAAAGACAGATATAAGTTTTTTCTCGATCTCCTTTCATAATAAAATAATATATTACTTCATAACAAATTGCTAATCCCCATGCTATATTATTTATTATTATCATTATCTCTACTATTAATTGACAGTCACAAGTTTTCTATGGGCATACGCATACGCCCGCTCTTGCGGAGGGACGTCGTGCATGACACCATGGAAGATGTCATGGCTGGGTCTAACCCTGGCGCGATGCTCGAGAATGCCAGGGAGTGGATCACGGCATCAAGGACGACCGTGACGGGAGGTGGCTCGTCAGACCGCCATGTGGACGCGGTCATATTATATTTCTTGTCAGTCAAATAAAAAGCTAGACGGCTACATTCTCAAATCAAATGTGTCCATTTAAATGTCAAGAAATTTATTAATGAAATGTGTCCTACATTACTCGGTAGTATATCGTCATAGTCGTTTGGTAGCAGCCATTCATGCGAAAATAATTTAGAAATCAAGCACTAAACCAATTTGGAAATCAAACCATTGATGCAATTAATTAGGTTCATTTGAGTATGAATTTTTTCGCACTGAATCAATTTAAAAATTGAGTTATTAATGCAATTAATTAATTTGTTAGCCAATGCCTACAGATAATTAGAAGTAGGGATATTTCCAATTAGTCAGATAATTAATTGATTTGGTTGGCAATTAATTAGGCATGTAGAGAAATAGGTAGGTCATTCATTTTTTGTGTACTTAATTAATTAAGCAAGCAATTAGTCATGGCGAATCATTTTGAAAGCGCTTATGGGCAAAAACAATCAACGGGCTCTCAGTTACATTGCAAAGCACCGAGCACCGCTTGCTAACATGGACAACGACCACCATGCGCTCGCGACATGGGCGACCTAGCATTCACCAAGATGGATGAAGTCTATGCTCCGCGGGATGTCCACTCGATGACGATGGCCGAAATGTTCGCGGGTGAGGACAACATGACGTAACACTAGCTAGGTGGTTCATGCTATAGTAAAAAGAAAGAGTGTTCCAAAAACAAGAAGGAAAAAGAACTGAAGCCAAAATGGTGCATGGTGTTGGAGAAAGTAAGAGTGTTCCAAATAATAAGAAAAAAAAAGAAAGAAAGAGTATTTTAGGGAATAAGTAGGAATGAGAACTAAAGTTGCCGAGGAATGAGAAAGAAGAAGATGAGGCAAGGGAAGGTGCGTCATTGAATAGGGTTTTTGTGTTGAACCCGGATGTTACAGATATTTCGGATAGCCCGTAGCAACGCACGGGCATTTTGCTAGTAAACTTAGCATCTGGTTGATGATATCCTTTTCATGAAATAAATTAGTATACTTATCTTTATTTTCGGGGTCATGGAATAATTATCAATCAGACAGAGTAGAGAAAGCAAGCCAAAAAATCCACAAGACTAGAGGCGCATAAACTTTCAGCACGGCGGCCATCGGAAAACGAGGTCGGTGTCGCCGCAGAATATGCACAGCATCTCCCGGATGCGGTTCCCTGCCGCGCCCCACGGTGTCCCCTACGTGGCACTGTGCACAGGTTTTCCGGTATGCCCCCTGGCGCGCCTGTTTTGGGCCGGGTTGATCTGCAAGTAAGGAACATAGGATGGGCCTCGCACCCTCAGCCCTGCAAGCTGCAGCCAGGCTCTCTCCTCCAACTCGTAAGGTGGGCCGAGCCTAAACTTGCCCCGGGGTTTCAGGTCCGCCTCACTGACTGAGCAGTATCTTCTCAAAACAAAAACAAACAAAAAAAACTGACTGAGCAGTCTTACCATGGACCGCTGGCAGTGGTAGTCGTACGTGCAGACTGGCGATCCGACAGGTCGTAGCTCGTCGTGGACGCGGTTAGGTGGCTGCCGGCCGCTGCCCGGCTCATGCTGCGAGATCGAGGCCTGGATAATGCTGTCCTCAACACAAGCGACGCACAGCAACGAGTAACGCTACTGTTGACGATCTCGTGATTCATGTGGCCGTGTTGAGCGGACACTAACAGTGACGCCAGCTACGAGTCCATCAGCGCCAAGCACGCGCGCACCAACTCACTGCAGATCTTTTCTTTTAGGATCACTGCAGATCTTTGGTGGTATGGTAATGGTATCCTTTTTCTTAACTTGACGATACGATTGCATGCATCACAAAGTTACTACCGCTGGGTATAATGGTAAAATTAACAAATTTGACTTCTGGACGAAATCAAATCACAGAATGAACTGCCCGTTAAACTATTTCACGCGGCCGACCTTTTTGTGTGACGCCCCATACGAATGCGCCACACTACACTGTGCAACGCCTCCCAGATAGGCGCTACACGCCTGACCAGCGTCGCACCCGTGTGATCCGAAAATTACTAAGTCAGTGTGTAGCGCCTAGTTTCTAGGCGTTGCACTAGTGGTTGCTTTATTTTGTAGTGCAACCACTAGTGCAGCGCCTAGCTCTTAGGCTCTGCACAATGACTTAGCAATTTTTAGGCAGTCTGGGGTGCAACGCTGGCCAGGCATGTAGTGCCTATTTGCGAGGCGTTGCACAATGTAGTGTAGCGCCTTCGTGTCGGGCGTCGCACAAAAAGGTCAGCCGCGTGAAATAGTTTCACGGGCAGTTCATTCTGTGATTTGATTTCGTTCATATGTCGAATTTGTCAAATTTGCCGGGTATAACTTCAGCAGTACTGTAATGAAGATACTGCCCACGTAGTGACTAGTGACATTTACGGTTGAGCACGAGCATGGTTAATAATATGGTAAACGTTTGGGCCCGGTGCACCGGCCGAACGATTCGGCCGGTCACTTCGCGCGGCTCGCACGTGCTCTGCTATACCCAGCAACACCCAAGCGCCATGTGTTCTACGGGCCCACCCACATTCTTCCTCCTTTCTTATCCTCTTCCCAAACGCGCTCCGCCACGGTCGCAGTCCTCCTCTATTCCGACGCTCGCCGACATGGCCTCGCGCTCTTCTCCCATCTCCCCTTCCACTCTCTCACCAATGACCCACGCCCCACGGCTCTGCTGAACACCCTCATCTCTAGAATACTTGCTCCCCAATCCCACTTCCCGCCATGGCTCACGCACGAGCTGCCACAAGGCCGGCTGGCCACGTGCGACACACGCAAAGGGCATGGTGTTGAGCTGCATCCAGCATGGATGCTAGGTGTGACCCGGTGCGTGACGAAGTTGCATCTTGCACATGGCAGGCAAGCTGCGACGGTCACCATGGGCGAAGCTGGGGAACCGTGCTCGCGTTTACTGCAACCATTGAAAGAAAAAGCTTCAACTGTATATGAGAAAATTTTCAACCAGAAATAGAGAAAAGCTTCAACTGGGCACTGCTCAGTGAAAAAAGCTACAAACGTTGACAAAAAAGCTTCAACCATCGGCAGGAAAAGTTTCAACCGGCGGTAGATGAAGCTTCAACCTAGGTACCGTGCAACGAAAAAAGCTACAACCATTGACAGGAAAAGCTTCAACTTGTTTGAGAAAAGTTTCAACTGGCGTTTTGATAAAGCTTCAAACCGAGAACAGTGAAAACCAAAAAAGCTTCAACATTGCCTGAAAAGTTTCAACTATATATGTGAAAAGATTCAACCGGCGTTTGAGAAAGCTTCATTCGAGCACAGCGAAAAGGAAAAATGCTTCATCCATTTTCCAGAAAAACTTCAACCATTTGCTAGAAAAGCTTCAACAGTATACATGAAAAAAGCTTCAACCGGGGGAACGCCGATGGTACGAGCGGACGACGGCGAGAGCTACGGTCGGCAACACGGTGGTGCTGCAACGTGCGTGCTACGGCGACGGGGGCGGGGCTAGGTGCTGCAAGGTGAGAGGCGGCGTCCATCTTTGCTTTGTTTTGCTACGAGGGGCGACGAGTTCCTGTTGGAGACGGGCGACGACGGGCAGCGAGGCGGAGTGCGGCCAACTGTGGTCTGCAAGGGGCGAGGCGCGACCTTCTGCGAGGTCTGCAGCCGGCGGGGGATGGCCCGTGGTGCGGGGAACGACGCTGGAAGGAAGGATTTTCGGGATCTCGCGGTGGTGGAAGTGGAAGACGAAGATGACGAGGGATATGGGCCAGCTGGCAAATTGGGCCGGTCGCACCGGCGCTGATTACTGCCCTAATAATATAGTCAACAATCGGCTCTAAAGAGTTGACATGTCATGAGGACAAACCTTATAACCGGTATATACAATAGTACTCCCTCGTAAAGAAAGTATAAGGGCAACTCCCATGCTGACCTGCAAAATTTGCTCCGGCATTCATCCGCGGACAGGGAACCAGTCCGCGGGCACGGATGCGAGAGTCGGCCATTCAACGATGCCCGCATACAGTTTGAACCAAGTTTAAACTAACCGGATGAACTTCATGCAAACACGGCTGATTTTTTATATAAATCAGACGAAATTCATTACATCTCGACCATTTTTCATTTAAAAAGGCGGCTGACCCTACAACTATCCTACGGCGGCGCCCGTCGTCCACTTTCTCTGCATTCTGCACTGGCCACCATGTCCTCTATCTTGTCGTGTCCATGAACGGCAGCGGGGCTTAAGATCTGTGAAGTCAAGGTGTGGTCTCCGGCGAGAAAAAGTAGAACATGGGAGACAGACTGGTCCCACTTGGGACACAATTCCCTGCCACCTCCCATGCCCTACTCATCCTCGGAGTAGTCCGCGGTTTGTCCGTCGCCGATGCCAGTGGACATGAGGTCGATGATGGATGTGCACAGTCCGTCATTGTCCACCTGCCACATGCGCCCCCGAAAGCTGGACGGCAACGCGTAGGACGTGCATCTGGCGGCGTTTTCATCCTCGACTGCCAGCGCTTGTGAGGCCGCGTCCGCGTATGTGGTGCAAGGGGGAGGATGTGTTGTGGTGTGGAGTTTAACCAGATGTGGCCGCGGTTAAATAGCGGGTTCCGGTGAGGCCAAGCGTCTGATTGCATCAATGCGCGGAGCCGGAGTTGATTTCTCAGCTGACGAACCTGCTTAATGGCAACACACAGACAGACGGAAATTGAACAAGCGTGGTAGATATCCATCATATCCCATGCAGTAAACATCTTTCGGCATTGAACATGCGAAGACACCGGGTTTGCAGCGCCGGCACGCCGTTTCAATGCCGACGTCAGTGAAAGGTCGCGTCTGCTGTGAGCCAGCGTCAATACGGAGTGGCCGCTCTACGGTAGTAAGAATGCGGGCAGCCAGCGCTGAGCGGAAACGCATACGGACGAAGAAGGAGGATTTTGGGCGGGTAAGGTAGTCAGGAACGGACGTGGCAGTGGTTCGGAGGAAGAAGTTGTTGGTCTCATTTTTTTAAAATGAAGGTTCGCCGTAAGAGAGCCCTGGGGTGGGTTGTGGAAAGCAGCGCCCGTCCGATCGCAGACGTCAATCGATCACACCAGCAAATATTCCGCCCGCGCGGGTGCTCGACAACGCGGCAAGTACGGCCGGCACTCGGCCGTGCCGCACGAAGGGAGCGAGGCGCGAAAACAGGCGGGGACGCAACGTGCGCCGCGTTCTCTTCCCTCCGGCGGCTACCCGTTTGGCCCCGATTCTCTCCTTGCACCCGACCCCGGCCGGGCGGGTTGCCTTTGGATTCTTCCAAAGCCACTGCCGCTGATCGCGACTCGCTCGCTTTGCCCAAAGCAACTTCGTATCGTAGCTCGCCAGGGCTTTATTATTTCTGGCGTCTGTTGCCCGCCCTTTTGCCGGGTTTTCCGACCTTTGTTGTCAAATGTATAGTATGAGTACGCTACACAATAGTCCTCTTTTTGGATGGAATATGGTCGTAGGGGTGAGGGGAGAAGAGGCCCCCGAGAATAGTAGATTTCCGTCCCCATGCGATTCCGTCGACACGACGGAAAGCTGCTTCTTTAATTCAACATCGGGCCAGGGACGGGATTCCCCCAATCATTTCGATGCCTTCCCTTAGCTCCTCCCGTGAGCTTTGTTTTATCGCTTAGCTTCTTCTAGCCACGTTGCTCGTGAGGCCTCACCGGTTTTTAATGTACTACTCTACATCTCCGCAGCGTGTTCCATGGTTTATTCTCCCTCCGGACATTTGGCATGTGCTTGGACGTTCAGAAGCAAACCCGGTCAATCTCGCCGGCCGAATCAAGTTGCATGCAACCATGCAAGCTACTAGAGCAAGCGCGGTCTCGCTCCACATGGACGACGCGGCGGCATCGCACGCCGGCGACGCCCAAGTGTCGTGCAGGTGCAGTCTCGCACCAGCAAGAACAGGTCCCAACAAGAAAGAACTGCAGATCGAGCAGCATCGACCGCGCCTTTCTTTAGCTGTCGAAGAAAGCAACTGCGTGTTACTGTTGGACGCTGTGCGACTTTGGAAACAAAGGAGGATCGGTGCCGAAAAACGGGAAAGAGGGCTCGTTGTATTGTAGCTTTGGGAAGCTTGGACGGTGTGATGTACAAGCTTTGTATGGCGTACGGGCTGTAGGGTCGATCTCCTGCACATGCGACCCGGAAAAGAGGTGGACATGGAAATATACTCCTGGGTAAATAGTAAATTATGAATGATGAACAAAACGTAAGTCACGTCCACTTCCGGAATAAAGGGGTTTGTCGCATATATATGCAACACAAAAGCGGCTATGGAACTATGGAAGGGGGGAAAAGCCACATCCACATTTTTGTATTACCTGTCTGCGTGTTATACTTTACGTGGGCGCAAGTAACCAGAGAGAGCAATACGATATAAGCGTTTCCTGAGTTTTCTCGATTCTTTGGGTAAACAGAGACACATCTGTTAACTTAATTAAGTACGCTCTCCATGTTACAAAAAAAACCGTTGTTTTGAACATCAATGCAGTTTTTAAGATGTAATTTTGACCACTAATTTCTATCATATGTATAAGAACCAAGGAAATTGCAATATTCAAGAAGTATTATCTTAAGACGAACTAATCTATGAGTAGCGTTTCTATCACACACAAGTTGTCACAAGTCTTATGTGAAGCAACTGCTTGTGATTTTGTAGAAGTTGTTAGTGTCCTTGGAGATAAATAAACCAAAGTAGTGAATATGATAGATTATTTCATCGAGAGTAGTGCCCACTTGAAAGTAAAGAACATAAATTAAAAACGGGAAGTAAAAAGTGTTTTCTGCACTAGAAATATTAGGCATGGAGAAACTTCGGAATAACTCACGTGTGCTAGTGCGACGATAATTCCAGTTACCTTGTATCATGAGTTCAGTATCTGATTTGTTTGTTCGGTAGAGGAATCACCCTAAGGTTATGGAACTCCTCCACACGGGATTATGTTCCACACTATAGTCCTGCTTCGACGTTGCCACAATGTGGTCGTCTGCGTAATTAAGGTTATTAAACCAGAACGATGCATTACGTTCGGTGGATGTCTCCACATGTCACCGGGAGGTCATGGATTCACTCACCAATATGTTTCATTGTGTAGGTTATTAAATCATGTTGCATGGGACCTTAAATTAGACAACAGACATAGCGTTTACCAGTGTATAACAACTTAGAGCATCTATAGCAATTTACCAGTGTATAGCAACTTAGAGCATCTCTAGTAGACCCCTTATCATGCGAACCTTTAAAGTGAGTATAAGGGCCGCGAAAAACGTGTTCCGAAGGCTGGCACCGGCTGCGGTCGAACATACCCAATTCTGTTTTACCATTCGGCCTTGTGGGGTCTGTTCGACCGCAGCCCGCACCAGCCCTCAGACCGAAAAACAAATTAGACAATTTGACCGTAATTCTGATAAATGGCTACAAATTCAAACAATCAAACATAGTTTGCGCGGGAATTAAACATAGTTTTCATCCATGATCCAAAAGAACCTCATGCAAAAGCCACCACCACCTCCATGACCATCATCATCACTCTCCACCACCGCGACCGAAACCACCACCACCTCGATGACCATCATCATCATCATCATCACTCTCCACCACCACCACCGCCGCCACAGAAGCCACCACCCGTCACTGCTTGCTTCCTTCTCTCCAAGATCTCCCCCTTACAATATCATGGCATTCTTTGATGATGTCGTTCATGTCATTGTGGTTCATCGTCATGATCTTGTTCTCCTCTTGAAGAAGCTTGGCCAAGGCCTTGTTCTCCCCTGCAAGGGCTCTTCTCTCCTCAATGGCGGCCTTGTGCAACCCCTCTTCCTTGAGTAATTGCCACTTTTCTCGCTTCTCTTGCGCCTTCTTGTCGGCCAACTCCTTCTTTGCCTCCAATGTCTTGGCCACCATCAACTCATTTGGTTGCACCATGGCATCTATCTTGCCCCGCAAGCTTGATGCCTCCGCTTCCCTCTTGATATTGTCCTTGGCCTTCTTGTTTCCATCGGCTTGTTCTTGTTTCTTGGGCCATCATCATCATCATCATCCATCTTGGTGAGTGAACCTCTCTTCGGTGGGGATTCTTTGCCAATCAACTTCCACTTCTCGCTATTTTGAAGCAATTTCTAATAATGCTCTAGTCTAAGTGACTTGCCATTGGAAGCTTCCATCTCCTTGTACCTTTCTTGCACAATTTTGTCTTGAGGGAAGGGAGAGCTGGAAGTGTCGCGTGGAAATGTCCCTCCCGCCAAATCTCGCTAGCGATAGGGGTCACCCTCGGGTCGAGAGGCAGGAGGAAGACGTTGTGGATGACCAGTAGCAGGTGGAGGCTGCAGGAAGTCGATGGTGGATGAATAGTAGCCTGTGGAGGCTAGAGCGAGGTAGTAGATGGTGGATGAACAGTAGCCAGTGGAGTCCGTTTTGCGGTACACCACACCCCTCCCGACGAACATGACCCTGTTTCGATCATAGCAGGTCGAAGAGAAGTTAGTTTCCTCCGTTTTGCAGTACGCCAGACCCCTTCCGATCAACAGGACCACGTTTCGACCGTAGGAGCTCGAACGGAAGTCCGTTTCCTCCGTTTTACAATACGCCAGACCCTTCTCGATGAACATGATCCCGTTTTGACCATAGGCGGTCGAACAGAAGGCCGTTTCCTCCGTACTGCGGTACGCCAGATCCCGTTTTGGTTGTTCTGTCCAAGCCAGCTGGCTCCCATTGAATAGGACACATTCTGACCCAACCGGATGGTTGTCGATGAACATGACATCATCGTTGTACGCGTTCGAGACCACACCCGTATGTACTACGTGGTCGTATTTTTTGCAATGTGGCTGTTGTATGTGTAAAGGATTTAGATGGGACTGCCTGAAATGCTACCGCTCCTTACTCAGCCACGGTTCATTGTGGCAGAGAGACCGATCGACCAGTATGTACGTACAGGTCTGCGCCCACACAAACAACGATATGTACGCTTCAACTTGGTAGGTCCCAGATATCAAGGAGGATAAGAACAGACTTCCTTGCATGCGAAGATAAAGCTGTTGGGTCCCAGCTGTCAGGGGGAGTGAGGGAGTCCTGGATAAGGGGGTCCTTGGGTGTCCGGCCTATTCGATATAGGCCGGCTGATGGGTCGTGAAGGGAGAGCCGAAGATTATCCCCGTGTCCGGGTAGGACTCCTGTATGCGTGAATGGCAAGTTTTGGTGTTCGGGTGTATTATTCCTTTCCTCTGTAAACTGACTTTGTACAATCCTAGGCCCCTCCGGTGTGTGTATAAGCCGGAGGGTTTAGTCCGTAGGGATCATCAGAATTCTCATAGGCTAGACAACTAGGGTTTAGCCGTTACGATCTCGAGGTAGATCAACTCTTGTAACCCCTATATTCGTTGAATACAATCAAGCAGG